ATCTGAGAACCATGACTGACCTGGAGGTAGAACAACATAATAGTGCCAAATTTTACCCCATTCACTCCATAAAGCAGGACTCCAGAGGTCTCAGCAGCAGTTGTCAGTGGTTTATTTGCTGTGCCACTGGTCACTATTTTCCTTATTAATCTGCAGCTTTTACAGATTTCTAGAGGTGAGTTTTTTTTTCCTTCTATTCTCCGGTGGAACAGACGTGCCCCCACACACACACCACCTGCTTCCCTGCTGTGCTCTTTTGTCCTGTGAACCATTAAAAAAGCCTCTTTTTTTTTTTCTGCATGCCTCTTAATTCGAAGGATCAGCTGGTCTCTCAACAAAATCGATCAACTTCTCCCGACAGGAGTCAGGGTAAGGAGGACCCTCTTACCTCGACGGAAACAAATTGGATTCATGGTGACAACTGGTTTTTGCTGTTTGGGTTGGTGAAATCTGGATCGTCTACAAATTTGTGTGGATGTGTTGAAGCTCGACAGTGCTCGGACTGAATGTGGGAAGCTGTGTCAGGGAATTGGAGCAGCTGTTATCAGGACTGTGATCTTCCTGGCAGCACTCATGAATGGTGGAAATAATCTGCAGAAGCTGTGAGCTCGACTTTTGGAGTAAAGGATCAATTAGTCTGTTTTGGAGTTTCCATCAGAGAATATGTACAGCAAGACTTTAAAGGCAGAAACAACAATTCACGAGTTCTGCCTGACCAATAAAGTTTATTCTGATTCTTATCCCTGCTCAGCACCACATTATGATCATACAATCTCATCTACGGGTGTCAAGGGCACACTGGAAACAACTGCTGAGAAAAGAGCAAATGCCTTGGTATCAGTATGTTAGTGAGTGGGCCCATGAAACTCCATCCATCCATCATCTTTATCCGCTTTCTTTTTGGTCGCGGGGGTCACTGGTGCCCATGTCTAACAGTCACTGTGTGAGAGGCAGTGGACGCCCTGGACAGGTCTCCAGTCCATCACACGGACATATCAAGACAAACAACCATTCACTCTCTCACAACTAGGGACAATTTAGAGTTACCAATCAGCCTAACTTGGTCTGTTGGAGGAAACCGGAGTACCCGGAGAAAACCCACGCATGCACAGAGAGAGCATGCAAACTCCACTCAGAAAGACACCCCCGGCTGGGAATCAAACCAGAGACCTTCTTGCTGAGAGGCGGCAGCTCTACCAACTGTGCCACCGTGTCGCCCTCAAAGTCATCATTCATATAATTACGTTACAAGAGTGCCAAACATTTATACAGCAATACGGCTGTTTATAGCATTAGCCCAGGCAAGACCTTTCATAAGCTTTGACCTTGATTTGTGACCTTGACCTTAGAACTGGAGTGTTAAAAAGTTACGTGACACTCCGGCTAGTCCATCCATATGTATGAAGTTTCGTAAAATGGTCTTGAGTGGATCACAAGTTATGGGACAGAACAAGAGAAAGTTTACAAATGTACGTACTGATGGAGATTATACCAAAATACAAACTTCTGATGGGCGAAAAATGGAAAGGAGGTAAATCTCTTGACATACAGCAACTTGTCCCTACACCTCCTTTCACTGTTTGAAAGATGGGCATGTCCTGGGGAAGCATGTGTGACCAGTTTGACAGATTTCCCCCCCACATAACACAGTATGTGATTAGATAGAGTTATAGTTCATGGTAAGAGCAAATATATTTATAGCCGACATTAAAGGGCTCACCTGGCTGAGCTGACTGTAAATCTACTTCTGATTGTCCTCGAGAATTCTGCGACGCTCTTGACCTCATCTCTGTAGACAGATTCTACAAACGTCCACGAATTGATCTGAACTGTTCTGCTTACAACAAAGTCCACGCTCAATAATCCAGGTATACAATCCAACATTTTTCAGTCAGGTCATCTGGACAGTTTCTTATTTGTGCTGAAACATTTTGCCTTCGATCCAGAAGGCTTCATCAGTCTGCTTACAATTACAGTTCAAAATGTCCTTCATATTGCCGTGTATTCAACTGCTTTTTTTTCAGCTAGCCATTAGTTCAGGAGTTATTTTGCTAACAGACAGGGCTGATTCAAACAGTTAATGCCAAACAAATATATTGCACAGGGTAGAGCTTTGAGTGCATGTTGGTGATGATGCTCAGCTACTACACCAAACCTGAGCTAAACATCTGCAAAACCTGGTTGACTCCAAAAGATCATTATGGACGCACTGTAATTACTTTCTGAAAGGTTCAGTGAAATCTGTGGTTCATGAGCTATTTTGCTAACAGACATTAACGGAGTTGGTTTAAATGGTGATTAATGCTCACAGTATGTGCAGGGATGAGTCTCGGCTACTAACACACCAAGTTTTAGCTTAATATTTGTAAAACTGTAGGAGCCAGCACTGTTAGGGCGGACAACGATCACTTGTTATAACAAATAAACATAAACCGAATGTGATCGTACAACAAGGATGTTTGTCGAAACTACAGGTCCTTCTCAAAAAATTAGCATATTGTGATAAAGGTCATTATTTTCCATAATGTAATGATAAAAATGAAACTTTCATATATTTCAGATTCATTGCACACCAACTGAAATATTTCAGGTCTTTAATTGTTTTAATACTGATGATTATGGCATACAGCTCATGAAAACCCAAAATGCCTGTCCCAAAAAATTAGCATATTTCATCCCACCAATGAAAGACAAGTGTTTTTAATACAAAAAACGGCAACCTTCAAATAATCATGTTCAGTTATGCACTCAATACTTGGTCAGGAATCCTTTTGCATGAATGACTGCTTCAATGCGTCATGTCATGGAGGCAATCAGCCTGTGGCACTGCTGAGGTGTTATGGAGGCCCAGGATGCTTCGATAGCGGCATTAAGCTCATCCAGAGTGTTGGGTCTTGTGTCTCTCAACTTTCTCTTCACAATATCCCACAGGTTCTCTATGGGGTTCAGGTCAGGAGAGTTGGCAGGCCAATTGAGCACAGTAATACCATGGTCAGTAAACCATTTACCAGTGGTTTTGGCACTGTGAGCAGGTGCCAGGTCGTGCTGAAAAATGAAATCTTCATCTCCATAAAGCTTTTCAGCAGATGGAAGCATGAAGTGCTCCAAAATCTCCTGATAGCTAGCTGCATTGACCCTGCCCTTGATAAAACACAGTGGACCAACACCAGCAGCTGACATGGCACCCCAGATCATCACTGACTGTGGGTGCTTCACAATGGACTTCTGGCATTTTGGCATTTCCTTTTCCCCAGTCTTCCTCCAGACTCTGGCACCTTGATTTCCGAATGACATGCAAAATTTGCTTTCATCCGTAAAAAGTACTTTGGACCACTCGGCAACAGTTCAGTGCTGCTTCTCTGTAGCCCAGGTGAGATGCTTCTGACGCAGTCTCTTGTTCAAAAGTGGCTTGACCTGGGGAATGCGGCACCTGTAGCCCATTTCCTGCACACGCCTGTGCACGGTGGCTCTGGATGTTTCTACTCCAGACTCAGTCCACTGCTTCCGCAGGTCCCCCAAGGTCTGGAATCGGCCCTTCTCCACAATCCTCCTCAGGGTCCGGTCACCTCTTCTCGTTGTGCAGCGTTTTCTGCCACACATTTCCTTCCCACAGACTTCCCACTGAGGTGCCTTGATACAGCACTCTGGGAACAGCCTATTCGTTCAGTAATTTCTTTCTGTGTCTTACCCTCTTGCTTGAGGGTGTCAATGATGGCCTTCTGGACAGCAGTCAGGTCGGCAGTCTTACCCATGATTGCGGTTTTTAGTAATGAACAAGGCTGGGAGTTTTTAAAAGCCTCAGGAATCTTTTGCAGGTGTTTAGAGTTACGTCGTTGATTCAGATGGTTAGGTTAATAGCTTGTTTAGAGAACCTTTTCATGATATGCTAATTTTTTGGGACAGGCATTTTGGGTTTTCATGAGCTGTATGCCATAATCATCAGTATTAAAACAATTAAAGACCTGAAATATTTCAGTTGGTGTGCAGTGAATCTGAAATATATGAAAGTTTCATTTTTATCATTACATTATGGAAAATAATTACCTTTATCACAATATGCTAATTTTTTTGAGAAGGACCTGTACAGAAGTTCCTCGTTTATCACGGGTGATCCGTACCCTGAAGACCCTCGATGTGAAAAACCGCGTAATAGGACATTAGTACAAGTAGTAAGTAGCATTTATTTTATTTATATATATATATATATATATATAATGTGTGTGTGTTTTAAACCCTTCCCACAATCTTGTAATACTCTAAACAATGTTTCTAAACTAAACCCTTCAAAAGAGCACAGCATGTCATTATTTCATCTCTCTGCCTCCTCTGCTCTTTGCCACCTGCAAGCGCTCTTGGCCACGCCCACTTCTCACTCTGCACAGTGATCAGCTGATCAGCTGTAGCAGGAAGTTTATCCTGCAGTGTGGGCTGCACTAATGTGCAGCAGGTGCTAAATAATTAAAAAAAAATTATTTTAAATAAAAATGCCATGCCGATCGTGCGGCTCATCCATCAATCAGCCAATCGCGTGTCTTATTTTGAAAAACCGCGATTGAGCGAATCCGCGATAAACGAACCGTAAAGTAGCGAGGAACTATTGTAAATCACGTTTATTCAAATGATTAAGATAAAAAAATAAAGTCTGCTGTTCATGAAACTGTAAGCAGACAAGAAAAGGCAAATTTATTTCTTTTTCCTGAACCGACCACACAAATGTTTAGCTTTTTTTAGGCGAGGATAGTCTGTGGAAGTATGCGGTCTGTGTGGGTTTCCAACATGGTGTTCTTCTCTGAATCTAAAACACTTTGAAGTGTCCAAACAAAATCCCAGCCTAAGGTCGTGGTGTTTTCACCCTCCTGCTTCCTCCCATCAAATCCGTTCAGCTTTGTGCAGACAAACTGTGGGGCTTTTGTCCTTTGAGTGACCCGTGACCGAACTGACTGTCAGCGGGCCTCCATGGCTTGTGAGAAAGCAGCTGTGGCCTCTGTGGTGGCCCACAGTAAAAAATAAAAAGAAGTGTCTCTACACGCAGGAGACATGATGGTGTCAGTGGTGGTGCTAAAGAGCTTGTTTGTTGACGTTGAAGATTTTGACAGAGTGGTCGGCGCCGGCACTGGCAAGCTGGAGCCAGGAGCTCTCCTCTTGGAGTTTCCTCTCACTGTCACTCCGTCCGCTCGTCTCGCTGCTCTCTACACCTGCTCGACCAGCTCGCGGCCTCCAGCGGAGTTGCTTGACTGCCAACGAGTGGCTTTGTCTGCGGAAGGAAGGGTGATGAAAGGAAACAAGCGCACGTCGTTTACTGCGGTTACATCTCCCGTAACTAAAAACGCTCGTCTAAAAACAAACGGAGAAAAATAAAAGCAGGTTGTACGCTGCAGGGACACTCGCCAGAAAAGCTGGATTCTTCTAATAGAAAGTCACTATTTAAAAATACTTGGCCATGTGTGCTCAACAGGTGATAACCAAAACACCAAATGGGATGCATCCCACACAGAAGTACCGCTTGATTCCCTCTGTCGCACCTGCTGCCCAAAGTGGTCACTCACTCCGCCCGCCATTTAATTCTGCCTAAACATGAGGCTTCTGCCTCTCTGCAGACGTGATGCTGCACTGCATCACATCATACATGCATGTTTTGGAAAGGTGCATGTGATAAACTTTCAGGTGACGCGTTGGAAGGATACGAGGAGTCGGTTTCTCCACAGCTTATCCAGTCACTTCCTGCAGCACCGTCCTGGCCAGGACTCCACCTGAACAGCAAGATCCGTCCACTTTCCAGGCCAACTGTGAGCAGGAAGCTGTGGGAGGTACAAGAGAGTGCATGTAGAGCGACTGCAGACCAGCAGATGTTCTCAAAAACAAAGCGCTGGTCAGTTTTAAGTCAGGGTGTTTTTCTGAAACTTCTTTATTCTTAAAGAAGGAACACTTTTGGAAATAATCCAGTATTAAGCAACAGTGCAGTAGTATGAATTTACATAAAGTCATCTGATAGGCAAAATGTTTCTACATCACTTTTATTTAAAATGTGCTTCTTTTTGGATGAAAAACACTAAAAACGTCATGATAAAAAAAAAAGATGACATCACACCTAAAAAGTTGCTGCATTGGAGCATGCTATGCAATTAACACGCAAATAATTTACTGAAACGTCTACAAAAATGGCTCAATGAGGCATTTCAGCAAAACTAAGAAGTATATAAACTCTACAAGTGTAAATACATTACTCACAAACTCATGAACAATATATAACTTAGGATTTGACGTCTCAACTCTTGATCTCGTTGCATCTTGGGAGTTGAATTTACCATCAGGCAACGAAGCTCATAGATTTACATACGCATTAACTTTCACTACAAAAGCTGAAGTTATTTTAAAAATATAGAAATTTCAATTCACTTCAGTTTATTTATTTACTGCCAAGTCACAAAGAAGTCCTCTCAGGGCACTGAACAGAAACATTCATATATATATAAAAAGTAAGTTAATAACATTAATTATCTGAGGAACAGACTGCTTTGAGTTTAAATTCATCACAGACTCTTATCTTGAGCAAGCATGAAGGCGACAGTGGAAAGGAAAAACTCCCTCATGAGGAAGAAACCTCTAAGCTCAGAACCAGGCTCAGGACAAGTGGCCATCTGCTTCAACCGGCTGGGTTTGAGAGGAACAGATACACAATGGCAGGTCAAGAATCACATGTTAAGATAGAAATAATATCAAATGAAAACTATTCAATTTGAACAATTCATTTTAAGAAATGAGGTCAATTTGTCCTCCAGTAGTCTACGCCTAGAGCAGCATAACAAGCCGACCCTAACTATAGGATTTATAAAAAAGAAAAGTCTTCAGCCCAGTCTTTAAACTGGACAATGTGTCAGCCTCACGGACAGAAACTGGAAGTTGGTTCCACAAGAGAGGAGCCTGATAACTGAAAGATCTTCCTCTCATTCTGCTTTTGGAAACTCTAGGAACCACAAGTAAGCCTGTAGTTTGAGAGTGAAGTTCTCTGTTAAGTTAGGAAAATATGGAACAATAAGATCTTTAATATAAGATGGAGCTATGTTGTTGAGGGCTTTGTAGGTTAGAAGTAAGATTTTGAATTCAATTCTGAATTTAACAGGGAGCCCATGGAGAGAAACTTATTTTGTTATATTATTTAACATATTTTTACATATTTCACTAATATTCAATGGAGAAAACCCAGTAAATAATACATATCCGTTTCACAGAACACATCAAAGATGACATGACGATGTTTGTTACACATTTAATGCTCCATATCAGCGTAGCTGTTTCGCTCCACTCCTCTTTTGGTCCTGCGCTCGCTTCAACTCTGAAAACTCACATCTCTGCAGGACGTGGCCAACTTCAAATTTACCGACACCACTGTTTTGTCAAAGTGCCGACTGACCAGTCGAAAAGCAAAACTAGACATTGGGAATCTGAATCCAGCTGAATCAGAGTGTACCTGTTGTCAGAGCAGAGCACGGGGCAGAAAGCTACAGCTGTGGCAGAATCCCCCACATCCAAAATCGAAGAGCACGGTTTAATCTCTGGAGGTGGCACAGAGTCTTCAGGGCTCTCCGGGCTGCATGGACCCCACACGATCACCTGAACACACAAAAAAAGAACAAGCCTGGTTGCTTATTACTGCAAAGTGCAACCAACTGTTATTTTAGTTGTTTTATGAGACAACCAACGTTGGACGATTACCTTCTTGTCCCGACTCGATGTCACAAAGTATCTGCTGTCAGGGCTCCAGTCACATGACCAGATGATGCGGCTGTGTATGGCCGTGTCCTTGCCGGTGTGCGCACACAGAGAGAACAGAGGCTCTGCGAGGAAACAAACAGAAACAGAAAGCACGTGTAAAACAACATTAAAACAATACTAGAGTGCAACGAGTCAAGCAACGCATTTGATTTATCTCCTGTTCAGCCGAGGATGAGCTGATGGCTAAACTCTGATTATTGCAGTGTGACATCAGCACGTCTGGATCCCTGCTTCGCTGCTGTTCTGTGGCCACAAAGAGCCTCTCCTGGGCTACAAATAAACAACCCAACAAGACAGAGAACCTCATTCTAGCCCTCCATTTCAGTCAGTTTTGGTTTATGACCTGCTGCTGTTTATTTCACCAGCCTCAGTCATTTCAGAGCCCAGATTGGTTTTCCCCAGAGAGCTTGTTTGTATGCTGCTGGCAGCTGCCTGTCTGTGGGTCTGCAGCACCCGCACTCTACACCACACACCAACGTGCGCCGGCGTGTACATACAGCTGTAAAGACACACACCTGAGCTGACCACTTCGCTGCGCCCGTGTGTTTAAAGCCCACACGCACTGAAGCGTTTACTGATGGGGACGAACATGCGTTGCACCTTCATCCATTAGCAGGACTCTGAAGGGCATAATGGCCGCTTAATTCAATCGCGCAGAAATGAAAACAAGATGAGCCGACAAAGGAAAAAGACGAGTCACGGCAGAACATATCCTTTACGCAAACAAGCAGTGCATACAAGGGGAGGGAAAATGAAGGAGAGCAACGTACAAAGTGACGTGAAACACACGGGAGGGCGAAACGTTGGTGGGGAAAGGCAGACGTGCCGAGACGAAGCAGGTGGGCAGGAGGTGTGTGAGCAGAGGGAGTGAGTTTGTTTGATGTGCGCTGACTTCGTTTAACCTTCCCCTCGTCTAGCCAGAGACTGTGTTTGCATTCTTCACAATCACCTTGAGTGATTCAGCAGCCAACCAGAGCAGACGGGAGACCCGACCTTCCTCCCCCTCCCCTCACATCCATAGAAAGTGGGAAAAACAATAAACACACAGACTGTTGTGCTTCTGTGTAGCAATAACAGGTGAGCGGGACAATGCAGGACTGGTTATTGTGTGACGAAGCACATTAAGGCCACCCGGAGCAGAAACACTGACATGATGCGTTAGGTGAAGCTGGGAGGTAATCCTTTGGGCTTAAATGTTGTGCTCCACTCATCGTGAGCACAGGACTGAGTTATTTGTCCACATTCAGCTGCAGGGATGTTCACAGCCCAAACAACACTCTATACAGGAACACAGTTCTGTTTACAACCCTGAAACAACTAAAATACTGGTTTTTGTCCCTGTGTGCGTGTGAAGTATGTTAGACTGTTACAGGACATGTATGAGGACAGCAGGACAGTGGTGAGATGTGCTGTAGGAGTAGCTTCAAGGTGGAGGTGGGAGTGCATCAAGGATCAGCTCTGAGCCCCTTCTTGTTTGCTCTGATGAAGGGACGACTAACAGATGAGGTCAGGCAGGAATATTTGTGGACTATGATGTTTGCAGATGACATTGTGATCTGTGGTGAGAACAGGGAACAGGTGGAAGACAACTTGGAGAGGTGGAGGTCAGGAAGTCAACCCAATTCAAGATGGCCACCACAGCCAGAAGATAGTAGAAAACACAGAAATGACTAGAATGCAGCCAATTTCTCAGATATTGAGCTAGGATCTGTTGTGGTAACATCTGACAGTTACATCCATGATACTCTGTTAAGACTAGCACGTTTTCCAAGATCTCACATCACATGAGATTTACGAGGTTTAACCAAAAGGGCTCCATTATTACTCAGTGTAAGATTACTTTAGTTTACAATTCTGGCATGAAAGGCTGCAGGTGATTGCATTTTTATCAAGGGAGGATGGGCCTTTAATTATTTAAATACTGACAGCACCTCAGCTAAAAGATCTCGTTTGATTGGGATTTTGCTTTTTTTGGACTTGTTTCAATCGATGCATCGTTTGCTCGGCTCTTCACAGTATTAATTAGTGGAGTCCTTCCAATAAGACCAGCTTGACTTTGAATTCAATTAGGAATAAATGAGCTCCGAGGGTTTACCTTAGTCTAATTAATTTGCGTTGAAATGGCTGGCGTCTGCCAAAAGTTCCCCGATGTTGTGTTTTTTCTGTTGAAATCCAGTCAAACGGATTTTTAATTAATTTAAACGTGTTTAGACAGCACCGTGAAGAACTGTTATCTCGCTGTGCTGCATTTGAATACAACTACCACCTTGTCGTCACACGCCTCTGTCAACCAGTTGCAGTTTACTTTCACATCTGTTCAGACTCATAAAATCAGGAGTTTAATAAAATCTAAGGGCATTTAAGCTTTTACACAAAACTGGCTGTGATAAACACAAAGGAATACTCGTGACAAAGAAAAACTTCTAATATGGATAAAAGAAGTGGTTATAAATCCAAGATGATGGTGCCTTGGGCATCTTTTCAAAGTTCCAATACTAAACGGCATCATTACACTTTCACCCAAATTTACTGTCACTGTTCGGTTTAGAAGATGTAAATTATGTTCACAATCTCCCTTTTTTCTAATCTCTATGATGTCACAGGTAAGTTAAGTTAATCTTTGACTTTTTAACATAAAACATCACTTCATTGAACACATGAGACATTTGTAAAAATAAAAAAAAACACTTTCTTGCAGCACGTTCGCTTGTCCCACCTGCACTTTCCGGTGTTGGCAGGTTTCGCCTCCATAATGACCAGGTGCGATCTCGGGACACAGCCAACAGGAGCTGTGCGTCAGGTGAGAAGGCCATCTGGGTGACGGTGAGCGTGTGATACTGCAGCCTCTGCAACTGACGCCACATGCTGGTACTCCACAGCAGCACTGCTGCGTGTTCGGCCTTGGAAGCCTGGAACGACAGAGATGACTGCTTCAAACTCAAAACCTTCAAAAGCCTGTTTTACATTTTGGTTACACACATATCTATCCTTGATTTCATGAATGCACTTTGTGTTCCTTTTAATTTCCTTTACCTGTGTTTCACTTTTCTCTCAGTTTTGATACTCTTTTTGATGAACATTCATATAACTCTGATTGTGATATAAAAGCCCAATTCCACAAATGTTGGAACAGAATGCAATGAACTGACTTCATACTGGCTCCCAGTCAAATCCAGAATTGAATTCAAAATCTTACTTCTAACCTATAAAAGCCCTCAACAACCTAGCTCCATCTTATAGTCAAGATCTTATTGTTCCATATTTTCCTAACAGAGCACTTCGCTATCAGACTGCAGGTTTACTTGTGGTTCCTAGAGTTTCCAAAAGCAGAATGGTAGGAAGATCTTTCAGTTATCAGGCTCCTCTGTGAAACAAACTTCCAGTTTCTGTCCCTGAGGCTGACACATTGTCCAGTTTTAAGACTGGGCTTAAGACTTTCCTTTTTGATAAATCCTACAGTTAGGGTTGGCTTGTTATGCTGCTATAGGCCTGGACTACAAGAGGACAAAATGACCTGATTTCTTTAAATTAATTGTTACAATTGAACAGTTGATACCATTTCTATCTTAACGTAATTCTTGACCTGCCATTGTGTATCTGTTCCTCTCAAACCCAGCCGGTTGAAGCCGATGGCTGCTTGTCCTGAGCCTGGTTCTGCTAAAGGTTTCTTCCTCAGTCATGAGGGAGTTTGTCGCCTTCATGCTTGCTCAAGACGAGAGCCTGTGATGAAGTTAAACTCAAAGCAGTCTGCTCCTCAGATAAATTATATTATTATTAATATATGAATGATTATTATCAGTGTCCTGAGATGACTTCAGTTGTGACTTGGCGCTATATGAATAAACTGAATTGAATGTTCACAATGAAACATACAAATTAAATAACATGTTTAAACTAAGACATGGTACATTTAGGTAAAATATAAGGTAGTATTAAATTTGATGGAAGCAACTTCTTAAAAAACGTGGAACAGGGTCATGTGTTTCATGTGACACATCCCCTGTTCTTTTAGCAACAATCTGAAAACATCTAGGAACTGAAGAGACCAGTTGCTGAAGTTCTCAAGGGGGACTACTGTCCTGTACTCTAGATGTTCAACAGTCCTGGTTCTTTATATCACGAGGTGTCAAACGTTTTCAATTGGGGGAAGTTCTGAACTGCAAGCAGGCCAGTTGAGCACCTGGACTCCTACTATGGAGCCATGCTGTTGTAATGGATGCCGTTTGCATTTTTAACGTTGTCTTACTGAAGGGTGCAAGGTCTTCCCCGGAAAAGACATTGTCTGGATGGGAGTATATGTTGTCCTAAAACCTGGATTCACTGGTCTTCATTAAGGATGCCTTTCCAGATCTTTTAATGCCCCATTCCAGTTTTATTTTTTTGCTGCCATCAAATTCAAATTTACCTTATTCTTTCCTAAATATCATACAATATCTCAGCTTAAATTTATCTATGTTTAAAATGTGAATGAAATATGGGTTTATGAAAAGTGTAAATTATTGTTTGCTTGTATTTTACACAAAATCTTAACTTTAAAGAAGATTAGGGTTGTAGTCATTGGGCTGCATCATGAACTACTGACCTTGCATGCAGATGCAACCACTGTCCTGGTGCTGTCAGACGCGAGGCAGAACACCTCAAAGCCATGGCCATATCTGGAGACAAAGAAGAGTTAGGGCACATGGGTATCTAACTTGAGTTAATGTAGATTCTAAAACTGGCCCTTAGTTTGAAAAAGGTTTTACTTTTGGCCCCCTTTTGTAAGTGAGTTTGACACCCCTGGGTTAGGGTCATTCAGCGACCAATCATGAATGGCCCCAAAGAAAGGACAAGGGCAGTGGTCTGCAACGTTTACAGTCAAAGGAGCCATTTCTGCCCTTTCGTTCAATAAATTAAACATGTCCGGAGCCACAAAATCTGCTACAACTGTGATTTTCAACTGCTGAACTGTGGACCACTTTGTTTGTTAAGGGACATTATAAAACTTAAAATGTTTAATGATTTTTAACATGTATTAACATTTTGATATTTTAGGAACAAAGAAAGGACCATAACAAAGAAGAAGCACAGTACAGTAGTCCATCGCTACTTCGCGGTTCGTTTATCGCGGACTCGCTTTATAGCGGTTTTTCAAAATAAGATAAGACAAGACACGCAATTGGCTGATTGATGGATGAGCCGCATGATCGGCATGAAATTTTTGTTTAAAATAAATTATTTTAAATTATTTAGCACCAGCTGCGCCTGTGTGTAACCCACAGCTTGTAGAAGCTTCGTCCTGCAACGTGTCATATCTTCGTTCTGTAGCGGAGAAGTGGGCGTGGCCGAGAGCACAGCTGGAGGCAGAGAGCAGAAATGATGACATTCTGTGCTCTTTTAGTGCATTTAAAGTTTAGAAACACTGTTTAGTTTAGAATATTGCAAGAGTGTGGGAAGGGTTCAGGGTACGGATCCCCCACGATCAACGAGGGACTACTGTAATGCAATTTTTACCAATTATTTTTAAAATAAAAATGAGCTATGCAGGCTCGTGATTGCTCAAAATTGCAGAAAAATCAAGTATCCAATGTTTTTTAAAGCATAGTGTTAAAGTGAGTATGTTTTACTGATTGTTTCAGCACTAGTGGTTACATATTTGCAAAATAATAATAATAATTATTATAGTAAAATTGCTAAAAAAATAGCTCTTTATTGTTGTTTGTACAACAACCAATTAAATTTTGTTTTATGTTAGTTTTGGTCAAAACTTGACAGAGCTGCTGCAGAGGGATCAAAGAGCCACATGTGGCTCTGGAGCAGATTAAAGACCCCTGGACAAGGGCAAACGAAATTTTAAGACCAGAGAAAATAAATGTCCAACTAAAACAAAAAATTATAATAGTCTGACAGTAAATTTAACAATAACTTCTTCTAAAGCATGAATCCATCCATCTTTTACCCACTTCTTCCATTGTGGGTCACGGGGGTCGCCAGTGCCCATGTCCAGCAGTCACTGTGTGAGGGGCGGGGGACACCCTGGACAGGTCTCCAGTCCATCACAGGGACACACAGAGACAAACAACCATTCACTCTCTCACTCACACTTAGAGACAATTTAGAGTTACCAATCAATCTAACATGCATGTTTTGGTGTGTGGGAGGAAACCGGAGTACCCGGAGAAAACCCACGCATGCACGGAGACAACATGCAAACTCCACCCAGAACATTGGAGCCATTACTGCTTGTAACAATTAGCAGATGAAATAAAAACACCAGTCAGTGAATAGTCCTTTTCCTACTAACCAAGACTGATAAGGATAATGTAGCAGCCAGTCACTGTGAGACTAATTGCGTTTAGCTTGCCACTACCTGGTCATTTTTAAAGAAACGAAAATCACAATGTGCAGTTTAGGAGGAAAAAATAAATCTTGTCTTCACCAGGAAGCTTTCAAACATTGCAGCAATTTGGCCACATTGGTAAGAACATTATTTATCCCGCAAAAATAATTTGATCACTTACTCATGTTAATGTTTCTATTATGTGCTGAGTGATTCAAGAGGTGAAGCCAAATGGAGGAAGAAATAAATGCATTCCAACACACACACACGCACACACACACACACACACAATGACCACACATCAAATAAAAGGCCACACCATACGTCATGTTTATAGCAGATTGACTGGTAAATGGATTTAGCATTGGCAACAAATGGAGGCAATATATTCACCCTGGAGAAGAGGCTCATGGGATGGCAGAAAGCTGGATTCTGACTGGTTGACAGAAAAGTAGGGACTGGCAATGGAGGGTCTTTGGGAATCTACCACTTTCACATACAATAATGCCTTTAAGCAAAAGTAAACAAACACTTCCATCAGGAAATGCTGCCTCATTAAACAAAACACAAAAACTTTTTATTGGGAAAGAAACTGGTGTAATTTTTAAGAGCTTGTTCACTCATGCAACAGACCTTAATTTTTACTTTTTCATAAATTGTAGACACAAAACATTTAAACTATAGTGTTTACAAAAAGGTTTTACATTTCTGATTTGTCTAATGCAGACCTCTTGCATTCCTCAAACACTGTAACCACCTGAAATGATTTTCAGTAACAAGTCTGCTTGAAGTTATTCTCTTGAACTTCTTGCATTCAAACTGCACAGAGCTGTTGCGTCATTTATTTGTTCATATAATTTAACATGTGCAGCTCAGGAGGATTCCACTCACGGGCACACCAGTAAACTAAGACTGAGCAAAACATCTGATTTTGCAGGATGGCAAAACAATGAACCAAAACCAAAAAAATAAAAAAACATGGTATCTTGCTGAATAAAAAATAACATTGAGAAATGCTGCAGCTGCCCCAAATCCAAAGAAGTTACCTATGGTTGCCTCAACAACAATGTCTATTTCACATCTTGTGCAAAGAACTGACTTCCAAGGATGCTGACAAGCAATTTTCCTAACATAGAAGACAAGTTAGCCATGATCAGCACACCTGAGGTCTACACACTACATGAGCTCTCCAGAAAGCACGGTGTTAATCAGGCCTGTAGAGTCAAATTACTGTTAGGAAACCAAAACAGAAGAAGAATGGTACATGGACTGTACTTATGTAGCACCTTTCTATCTTATCAAGACACTCAAAGCTCTTTACAACACAATCTGTGTCCTCATGTACCCATTCATACAGCACTCTACTAGATCTATACAAAAAATAATCAGTGCTTTATCACATTCATACACTGATGGGACACACATCAGAGGCAACGAGGGGTTCAGTGTCTTGTCCGGAGACACTTCAACATGTGACTGCTGGTGGAATGGAACCCCCAACTCTCCTACTGGAGGACGACTGCTCTAACCACTCAGCCACAGTTGCCCCCCAAAAATGTAGAAGACTGCTGGGATCCAGAAACATGATGAATGGAGATTGAACTGGGAGAAATATGTGATTTGGTTTGAGTCGTCCATATTAGAGTTGATTCTATTTCGTTCTGAGATGAAAGAAAGGAAAAATAAACTGTGTCTGCATGTAACCATTGTGAAGCGTACTGGGGGTTGTATGATGATGCGAGACCGTTGGTATAGGTCAGACTAAATTCAGCACCTGGTCCTCCAGGTTGGGGGTTGGATGTAGAGCTAGCAACCCTACTCAGTAAAAATAATACTTTGTTACAGAAACTGCACAGGCCCAGATGGACTGAACGTGTTGTGTAAAAACACTTAACAAATCAGAAATCTGTTTTTAATTACATAACATAAGTGGCTGGAAATAATTCTCCAGTTTGTACTATAATCATGTTATAATAATAATCTGCTGCTATATTCAGTCATATGGACAACAGATTCAAAACACATCACAAATACTACCCAGGAGTTTCTAAAGTGTCAGTCGTAGAATATTATATTGAGAAATTCATCTCTTTTCAAAACAGCATTTCACAGGAAAATCCAAGGGCAGATAAAAATATGAGCAAAATCTGAAAAACTACAGGAAAACGACGTGTATCTGTTTTGTTTTTACGTTTAAGGCCCTGAAAATACGTACTGCAAATTGAAAAAATAATTCCTAAACTCAACAATTAGAACATTAAAAGACAATACTGGTCATATTATTAAAGCGTGAATATGTTTGATTATGGCAGAAAGGCAAAAACACAGAAATGAAAACATTTATATACTTCACTCCATGTATAGATTTAAACTGGTAACTTTAAAAAGAGACAATGTGATACTTACAGTTTCTGAACCTCAGGCCAGAGCGTGTTCTGGAGAAGATGATCCTCTGGCGGTGGATCTGTACATGCACAAACCCATAGAGGAATGCAAAGAGGAAAAAAGAAGAGATTTAACTGCACACTTCAATATTTATACAAAAGAACTACTGAACTCCCTGAAAACTGAACCGTTATGATATTCAAATAGAATCAGATCCAATTTATAAATGAGAATTACACTCAAGTGAAGATAATTGTTCTTCGTTAAATCCCTGCACTAGGAACAAGTGATGGATAAGACTCTATATTTAAAAGAAAGAACAGAGTTAGTGAGAAAAAAACTGTAAATAAAAAAATAAATCTGGTTTTAGCAGTTTTCAGCTTTTTGGTCATTTTTTTTGCAAATATGTGAATACCAGAAATAATACAATAAGTAACACGTACTCACTTTAACTTTATGTTTTATGTCTATACTTAAATACTTTTTTCCACTATTAAAAAAATTGCATAGGTCTGCATAGTTCAACTTTATAGTTTATTTAAATTTAAAAAATATACAATTTATTCCTTCTTTAAAATAATGTTTTTTCTTTTGTTTTAATTCGTAAAAAATATTAATAAATGTTAAAAATCTGATATTTTTAGCTTTATAATATGTGGCACCTACTGGCCACAAAAACCCTCCCAGAAACCTAAAGTGGCCCATGGACCACCACTTGATAATCACAGTTGTAGCAGCTAGGAACATGGAACAAGCCTCCAGAAGTGAGACAGCATCGCAGGTGACTAATGCTAATAAATAACATTTAACACTTTTCATTTAATATAAGTTAAAGTGCTCTGCATATCATATGGCTGTTACTGAATATATGTCACCAGCACTTACAGCTGTTCCACAATTTTTGTAGCAAATAAGCCTAAATAAGAAGGTTATGTTCTGACAAAGGAACGTATATAAAATATCGGTATCGGTTATCGGACAAATAAGTTTTAACATATCGGCATATCGGCCAAAAATCCAACATCGTGCATCCCTAGTAGCAGACTGTTGTGGCTCTGGACATGTTTAATTTAGTGAACAAAGGCATAAAAATGGCTCTTTTGATTGTTCACATTAAAATAGCTTCTCTTTTTATTGCATAAAAGCTCCCAGTTCTACCAATAAGCAGCTTTATTTACATAAAAAGCAGATATCTGGCAGCTTGGTCTATAATTCTTGACAAACTTAAGGGCGGCCACATCTCACCCAGAGTCAGTCTTGCCTTTCACAACAGGGTGCATGACTCGTCTTTGTACAAAACATAATACACACCTTGCTCTGGAAGTTATTGTTATTGGTCATCAGCTCACCTTGACCCTAATTATTCATCTACTGCCTGCCTATGGGCCCCAGTCTAACAAGTGGAAATGCATTAAGAACAGCCTCCACACCCGGTTGGATCAAAACCTGCCCGGGGTTATCGATCTTTAAACGTTGCAGCCACATAAACCTGCGTTCTAATTAGCGTTGCAGATGAAGCAGTGGCTTCAATCATTCTGATGACAGCCCCTGACTACATTCAGGGGGTTGAAAAAGCTGAGTTGATGTTTCTTTCATTAATGCTGGTATTTAATGTTTTTTAAACTTTGATTCTTTTTCCATTTCAATTTACACATTTACAGTAATTTTATATTTTAGTCTTTTTTGTTTGTTTTACTTCGTTTTCTGTCTTTTCTAAGGCAGCTGTTGAAAGCCTTCCCCCTCCCAGAATGCATTTTAAACATTTTTACCCAAAAGCCTACACTGTAGTGATGACAACCTGCACTTATTGTGTGCGAGTTTAATTTTAAGAGTTCTTTTGGTTACAGACAAAAATAAATACATTTAAATGTGGCGGACTGCTTCACAGGATGAACTTGGATTATATTCTGAAAAAGAAGTAGTTTGCATGCAAGATTGAACATATTATAGGGAATAAAACGTGTTAGTTACAGTACCAGTCAGGATTAGAGGATGAAAGTTGGACTCCTGGTATTGGTCAGATATGCTGCTGAACTGTCCCTCTTCTTCAGCGGTTTTGGGGACAAGATCTCCTACAAAAATCAGATTGAAAAATAAATGACATGAAATAAATCATAATAATGGACAAAGCCTATAAACTCAATTGGGCCCAGCAGTTTCAAACCACTGTGTGGGGAGAAATTGATTTTTCATTGGAAAATGATCAGACGGCCGCAGTTTGAGCAGTGAACCGGTCGGCTGCAGAGCTCGTAATCTACCTTGAAATACCGCCTTGTTGGAAAGTCCCAAAGCAGGTGTGCTCGCTCCTTCTGGAAGGTTGGTTGTGTCCTGACAAAAAAAACAGATGAGGAGGCGTTTGCAAATTACAAAAAAAAAAATAAAAGACTCCACAGTAAATTGAGCAACTCTAGAGAAAGTTTTGTTGCGATCTAATCGTAGCACTCACACTGGAGGTCAGCAGCTTTTCCTTTGAAGTCCCCGATATGTTGGCAAAGTTCTCCACAAAATTGCGAGGCGCTTGAAACACTCGAAGGACCTTCTCATCAGCTCCTGACACAAACTGAAACCTCCCAACCATGGACAGACACTGCATGTCGTATCCGTGGATCTGCGGGCGGGAGATTTCATGCCAGGTTGTCTGCAGTGACGAAAAGACAAACGTTTATTCAAAAGATGCAGATCTGTCTGTGTAGCTGCTGGGAAGCATTTTCAGCTAAACTCTGGTTTTATGTTGGAACTTGGTGTCTTGACCATCAATCCAAGTGCTGAAACAAGAAGCTAAATATATTATTCATTTTTCTCCTTAAAATGTAAAGGTTTTTTTACAGATGACACAAATTTATAAATAAATACTGCTGAGGCTTTTTCATCAAGACCATCTAAAAGATTAAATAACATCAAGGCAAAGTGTATTCTCTCTCAGCACATTTGAGGAAATTCTGAGTCTGACGGTACTTGTTTGCTGTCCTGCTTCTTCCATGGAGTGAACAGTCTGGTGGTCTGGTCTGAGCCCACAGTGATGATAAATTCCCCTTCAGGATCCCAGCTCAGGTCTTGGACGGCATTAAAGTGACCAGATATCACAACTCCTGGTCTCCACTCTCTCTGGAAACAAAGAGCATTTTATTATTTGGAGTACATCCATCTAAACCACCGCTTCTTGTGCCTGAGCTCCTAAACCTGTATGTGGCCAAAAAGTACTAAAGGTGCTGCGATAAAAATGACCTGCTTTGAAGCTTCACATTTATTAAGCAGGATGTAATTTAATCCGTCATCTGTGAACCTCCACTGGTCTCTGGAGCACCTAACAATGACCCAAACTAAGCCAGTCAAAATGAGAAACAAAAAGACTCATTACTCTTACAGTGCAGCAGCAAAGAAATGCACAGTAGTTGCCTCTTATCGATTGCCTTCATGATGCTACACGTTCATTGAAGTTTGCTGGTTAACAGAATAATGAGAAGAAACTTTGAAGTTTCAGGGCTCCCATGGACCAAAACATGCACGTTAGGCTGATTGGTAACTCTAAATTGTCTCTAGGTGTGAGTGAGAGAGTGAATGGTTGTTTGTCTCTTTGTGTCCCTTTGATGGACTGGAGACCTGTCCAGGGTGTCTCCCACCTCTCGCACAGTGATTGCTGGATATGGGCACCAGTGACCCCCATGACCCAAAAAGGAAGAAGTGGGTAAAGATGATGGATGGAAGGACAGACGGACAGATGGATGGATGTTAAATTTCATGAAATTTTGTGAAAAGATGGTAAATGGACAAAAGACAAATTGTGTAAAATTTGCCGTCACACGCCTTTACTGTAATGTCGACCAAACAAATAATTGTTTTTATGTGGTTATCTTGTTAAATTTTGATGAAATGCACAGCAAGTCGTCCCTCTGAGCACTCCAGCAGCCACAAATCAGATTTGAAATGCAGCTGATTTGACCGTCAAAGTGCATTTATTAAGCAAAAGTTAGACTGAGACGCACCTTTACTATAATTTCGAGCAAACAAATAATTGTTTTTAAGTGTTAGTTTTGTTAAATTCTTGTTAAAGTCCTCCCGTGCACGCTCCCGCGGCCGCCATTTGGCAGCCAATCGATTTTTGACACAACGCCGGCCCACGTTTCAGAGTTGTCAGCGGTGACGCATAATAGATGCGACTTATACGCCGACAAATACGGTACTTGGACTTTTGAACCGTGTGTTGATTCTTCATCAATAAGTATTGTTGTTTTTGACTTCATCTTTTAAGTCAGTCTGAATGTGTATTTGATCTTCCACCATACAATACTGCATAAACTTCCGTTAGGTTCTCCAATTATCAACAAATAATGGGATTTTCAGACCAAGTCTTGCAATATTTAAATAATGTATTCCTATTTGTTCATCCAAACCAAGTGCCATTATCTGCAAAAGTTGCCAAACAGGAAGGAAGGTAATGTAACAACATTCTTTTAGAATGTGCAAGTTTTAGAAGAACAGAATTAGCTATTAAAAACAAACTAGTAAAATGGTTGAGACAAAAAGTTGTTTTCATGATTGGTTTCAAGTCCAAGATGAATAAACTTACCAAGAATAGACATTTGGTCATGATTAAAATTTGTACTGCTTGAATTCTTGCGTTGAAAAACACTAAAACCAGTTCTAATAGGTATATGTAACAAAATAAATAAAAGAACACTGTTGTTGCATTGCTTTGAAACGTAAATTATAGGTGACTCGTACCTCTTTGTCTTGATCCTTGCACCACAGATGCAGCGCTCCGTGAAAAGCGTGAGCCACAATCATTGCGCCATCAGGGCTCATCTGGCAGCCGTAGAAGCCCAGAGTGTTTCCACCCACCTCCCCTACACGCACCTGGTGTTAAAGAAAAAGAAAGTATGCACGTGTGACAATCAGTACTGATCAGAACCTTCGTCATCTGCATTTTCAACACATTCGTTAATGACGTATGACATCAGGTGGGCAAAGAACATTTGATTTCTGGGCCATGTCATCGCGTGCAAACATATATAAAGAGAAACAGCAGCAGAATAAAGGCTATGTTTTATAAAAACTTGAGTTTACCACCTGATCTTATTCAATATGTTATAGACCAATACTACAAAAAAGCTCATTTGTTTTAAACACCTCGTTTTTGAGTGACAATGTCATTTGGACTTCAATAGAAAACAAGCGAGGAGAAAAAAGTAAGGCTTGTCTCGTTTATTATTTGTCTCCCTCCAGGACTCGTTAACCAAGACTTCATCATGGTGGACAGCAGTGAAAGAAAAAAAAATGCAAAAAAGATTAGTCTGACAAATCAGATGAGAAAATATGTAAAATGGGACTCATTAGAGTTGAATAAACCAAACAAAAACACATTTGTCAAACACATAGCAAAGTTATTGAAGCACAGCACATTACATTAAACTAATAATTATGAAAAATTGCACAGCTTGAGAAAAATGACAGATAACTGGATTTGGAGTCTCTGTCTTTTGTATTAACAGTAAAAACTCTATATGAGACAAAGACCACAAAAAAAAAAAAATACTATTCAATGTTAAAACACAAGTAAACAAGTAATTGCTACCTTAAGGTCAGAATAACAGTAGAACATAAAATAAGTCCAAGGACTTTTACTGCTTGTCCAATCATGGACGTATTTGCTTTTGTGCATACAAAGAATTATATAATCACTTTTGTGGGTACAAATTACTTTAAAGGACAAAGAGGCCTTTTTTTATTTTAATACAACTGTTACCCTGAAAACTATTTTTCTTATTCACCTCCATATAAGGCACACACTTTAACTCCCTTTACATTTTTTGACAAAAATCAACACCAAAAAATCCCAAAATGTTTTAAATAAATACATATTTTATTTAGGCCATTGAGAACTAGCATGGAAATAAAATACTAATGTATTATTAGAAATATTAGACAGGTTAACAACTCACTATTATAAGAAATGAAAACCATTAAAAGCCTTACTGGTCCCTAAAGCAGAGATAAATTAACCTCAAAGGAATGATCGATTCAAATCAATTAAAAAATACTAATAACTAGAGACTGCTGTGCTGTTCCCTCCACTGCACTTTGAATCCATCATATCTTTTCAACTAGTGAAATTGCATTTCCTGAGAAAATGCAGTGTGAATGTTTGTTGCTGAACTTGCTGAAAAACAGCTGAAACTAGCAAAAAAATAAAAAATACATGCTGCTGAAGCATAGCTGAAAAAGTTCATATTAGCATAAAAACAGCCAAATAGTAGCTGTAATAACTGAAACTAGAAGAAATAAGCTACGAAGGAACATAAACTGAAATTTGCAGAAATAATGTTATTAGGCTGAAAGTAGCAGAAAGTACCAAGAAAAACTTGAATTTATCTGAAAACAGCTGAAATTAGCTCTCAAGTATGCTAAAAAGGTAGCTGAAAGGGTAGAACAAGCTTAAATAAGCTGAAGAATGCAGAAAGAACACATGTTCGCCCAATTAGGCTTAAAGAAGCAGAAATGAGCACAAAAAAGAAATTATCTGAAAAAAGCTGAAATTAGCATAAGACCAGCTGAAAAGTAGCTAAAAATTGCAGAAAGAAGCTGAAATTACCAGAAGGAAGTGGAGAGCACATTTTTGATGAATAAAGCTTAAAAAAGTCCAAATGAGTGCCACAAAATTGGAATTAGCTGAAAAGGCTAAAATTAGCATACAAACAGCTAAATACCAGAAGTAGCTGAAATAACTGAAAAAGCTGAAAATTGCAGAAATAAGCAGAAAGGAGCATAACAACCTGAAATTAGCAGAAAGAAGTTAGAAGAAGCACAAAAATATTGTAGTTAGCTGAAAGAATCTGAAAGGAGAACAAAACAGCTGAAAAAAGCTGAAATTATCTGAAAGAAGCTCATTTTTTTTAATGTGCACAAAGAAGCTGAAAGAAGCTGAACCAGAACAAAATGTGAAAAGAGCAGTAAAAAGCTGTAAACAGATCCAAAGATATGAAGGATGTAAAATGAGCTCGATTCATTTTCTATGAGACAAAAAAAAGTGGCAGAAAAGATTAAACATTTCAAAAAGCTAAAGTTGTGCCAATAGCAAAAGTCATAGCACCCTTCTCCTGAACAAGCTGAACATTTTGATAAATGATTTGTTGAAATAGCACAAACACTGTGGAACGAGAAAGATGCTGAAAAACGTACAGAAGAAAAATGGATCACAACAGTGTGAATGCTTCATAAACATTCACACTATTAACATTTGTTTGGGATCTTGATAATAGACAGGAAATAAACACCAGACGGACTCAAGTCTTGCTTGACTGATACTAAATGAAGAACAGTCATCGTTGGTGTCATGTCTGTCAACTATCGGAGGCAGAAAAGTGAGACCATCAATTATGTAGTCTCGTCGTTGGTCATCGGTGTCCTTCAAAATATAACAGGTGTGCATGTTGAAGCATAGTGGAACGAATGGCAGAAATAAAAAGGCGTGATGGCTCCGGTCGCTCCGGTGAGAGGGACCAAAGAAGACATAAAGGAAGGAGATTCATCCCGGAAGAGAAATGGATGGTGAGATTGAGAGAAAGAGATGCAACATTAGGCAGATTGATTTTAAAATTCTGCACACAGGATACAACCATATATCATAAAAAATAGGCAAAACACGATAATCTGTCTTGTTTATGAGGAGAAACAATATGGAAGTGTCGTACTCCTTATCACTGGACAGTGTTGTTATTATTAAACTAATGCAAAATGGACTGCAGAACTAATATATATATATATATATATATATATATATATATGTGTGTGTGTGTGTGTGTGTGTGTGTGTGTGTGTTTCTCTGCAGAGGACAAAAAGAAACATAAAATAAACTGAGATCAGTAGAAACCCAAACAAGGTCAAGCACCGATTTTAAACCACTCTACAAGTTTTTTTCCTGACGCATTAAATGTATACCTTACGAACACACACATTTACATACTTAATGACCAAAGTCTCTAGTTCCAAAATTACCAAAAGAAAAACTCAGAGCAAGGAGAATCCAACAAAGTCAGGTCTGTTCTCAGTCAATGAGAAATATAACATGCTGTAAAAATAATAAAGATTTTAACCCAACAAATGCAAAAAATACTCCTCAGCCTGGTCTTAAGCACAGTGACAGAACTGCATGCTTCTTTAAATGTATGTCTATAAATCTCACAATAAAAAATAAACCATTCATTGAAGAAATGCACATCACCTACCACACCAAACATAGCTCATTATCTGTGAAATGGACCGACTTACAGCTCATTTTGTGTTTAAGGTCAACTAGCTGTGGTAGACATTTAGAATCAGGCTGGCACCAGTCAAATGATAACTTAGTGAGTTTCAATAAAAATATGCCCAGCTGTTCAGAAAATGTTTTGCTAACAGCTAAAGTTTTTAACAAAAATCTCCTGCGATGAGTTAGAGCTTGGAGATAACGGTAGGACAGTTGGATCGCTCGGTTTCATAAAATAAAAAATTTCATACCGTAATTTCCAGACTATAAGCCGCTACATTTTCCAAACACTTTGAACACCGCGGCTTATACAATGATGCAGATAATTTATGGATTTTTATTTAATTTTAACTAGCCTTGTAACAGACACTGTTCAGAAAAAAAAACATTTACTGTACGTAGTTGTGTGCTACCCGTACGTATTTAATTAAAAGTTTGAAAAATCTTTTGGTGTAAATATCTCATGTTACAGATAATACACTTGATATTAGCCAATAAAAGGTTGAATGATGTCATGTGGACACGTACAGCTTATACACAAGTGCAGATTATACACAAGTGCAGCCTATATATATACAAAAAAATAGTTTTTCCTTTTTAAATTTAGTGGGAACTGTTTATATTCAGGTGCACTCAATAGTCTGGAAATTACTGTATTTATAGTCTTCTTTTGGTTTGCTGTTGTCAGTTAACTGAGGGGGCCATATTGAATCAGGTTGACAACAAACGTTAATCAGCTGTAGATTTTGAATTCTGGGAAAAGGCGTGCAAACACGTTATCTCTCAAACACAAACCAGTAATCCTTCACAGCATTATGGCAGGCCTCTGTGGTCAACTCTACACGTTAATTAACAGTGTGTGTCTGTACCAACATGTTTGTTTTTTTACGCAGCGGTTGGTCCCGACCGCCCCTCTGCTAATCCTGCTGTCCTTTAGATCTCACCAATTACTCTAATCAGCATGAAGACGCAGAACACTTCTCTGGAAAAATCAGGTCATTAAGACAAACATGGTCGGTCAATTAGTGTTGTGCAATTTACTCCGCCAAAAACTTCAGACTTTAATGAGGACGAGTCGTGTTCTGGATAAATGAGACACACACCCCCCCCCCCCCCCCCC